AGCATGCTGCCCTGCCCCTTCTACACTGATGAATCAGAAAGACTTCTGCTACAAGGTCAAGGGCTACAGGAGTTTGAGCACTTGTTTGTGCGCTCATATCTAAAGTGGTCACCTGTTTTCATCAGTTGGAGCTCTTGTTCCAAAATTCTTGTCCTGGCAGTTCCTGCAGTGCCGATTGAAGCCACGTGGTGGCACTGTGGAGCGACACGCCACAGGCCCGGCCTGGACACCCCTGGAGTGTGGATCCCACCAGTCTCTTCCTGTCTGAGTAGGGGACAGGGTCACTGGTGGAGGGCCACTGAGGGAGGGAAGGGCTTTGGCGCCCTTTGCAGCCTGCCTTGAGGCCGGCCCTGGAGAGCCCCTAACTTGGAATGGGTTAACCCCGTGTACAACAGCTCTGAGCCCTGCTCTATCTTGAGCCAATTTCATTGTCTCCCACACACCTGCTCCCATTACCCCAGTCACTGAGTCAAGCCGTCTCCTCCAGGTCTTCCTCTCTTGCACTATGCCTCCACTTTTCCAAGCATGAGGTCCTTCTCCCCTTGGAGAAGGTCCCTGCTGGCAACATGCCCACAGTATGTCAGACAAAGCTTCAAAATGCTTGCTGCCAAGGAACAGCCTGGTTTCACCCTCTCCTGGTCAGATCTGTTTGCTCTCTTAGAAGTCCATGGTATATTCAATACACTTCTCCAGGACCTCAACTCAAAGGTATCAATTCTTCTATCATCCTTAGTCATTGTCCTGATGCATAAATTGCAAAATCTATGACCTGGATCAGGCACACCTTAGTCTCTAGACTGACATCATTGCTCTTTGGTACTCTGGGAAGGTCCCTGATAGCGGATTTTCCTAATGCAACTCAGACAAACTTGCACAACATTTCTTAACCTGAAAGAACTGAAGAACAAATTTGAGCCTCGAGTTGCAATACTTAAGGATATTGTGGGAAGATTGTTGAATGACCCAGGAAGCATCAAAATAAAATGAAAGGAATACATAGTCACTACACTGAAAAGAATTGGCTGACACAGAAGAATTTCCTGAAACAACATAAGATCAAGAACCAATGGTGATGAAGGAGGAAGTTCAAGCTGCTCTGAAGGAATTGGGGGGGGGAAAAGGCCCCAGGAATTGACGGTAGATCAACTGATGTATTTGAATAAATAGATGCTGGATGCACTTACCATGTTGTGCTAAGAAATCTGGAGGACAACCACCTAGCTAACCGACTGGAAGAGACCATATTTATTCCCATTCAAAAAAAAGGTGATAGAACAGTGTGGAAAATTATCCAACAATATCACATGCAAGCAAGATTCTGCTGAAGATTATCCAAAAATGACTGGAATAGCACATCAACAGAAAACTGCCAGATGCATAGGCTGGGTTTGGAAGAGGCACTAGGGATAGTACAGCCAATGTCTGATGGATCTTGGCTGCAAGCAGAGAGTACCCGAGGAACGACTGTGTTTCAATGACTACGCAGAGCCATTTAGCTGACTGTGTGGATCACAATAAACCATGTCTGTGTGTTGAAGGAAGGATTTAATTGATGTGACCCCCCCCTCGCCCAGCCCATTTACAGGAACACAACAAGTGAAGAGGCAGGGATGCTCTACGCTGGGGCCAAGATGGGGAGGACGCAGGGCCCCACTTGGGTCTCAACAGCATCCGAAAGGTGGCCTTGCCAGCAGCGGAGCAGGAGCACCCCACGACCATCACAATCCAGGAGGGGGGTGAAGACGGCAGAGGGGTCCTGGGAAAGGCCCAGGGCAGGCCGAGCTGGGCCCCTGTGGAGAGAGCGCTGGGTGTGTTTGGACACTTGGTTCCCCTTGAGCCCTAAGTGGTGGGTCCTGTCCCACCTTCTGCCTCTCTTTCCCTGTTTGCAGCACCCAGAGGTGTAGCCTGGCACACCGCACTGCTAGCCCCAGGCTCCCTTTCTCTGGCGGTTGGAATGCACCAGCAGCTCCCCCAGTGCAGTTTACAGCCTCCCTGGCGGAGGGCCTGATGGGTCAGAACTCCCCAGGCAGTGAGTTTGAGTGTGGAGGACAGTCTGCTGCCTGGCCGGTGTAGTGGGCGGCGGCGAGAGGGAGGGGCTGGGGCCTGGGGGGAGCCTGGCAGCACAGGATCTGCCCCCCTCCGGGGAGAAGCTAACACCTTCCATTCCAGGGGGTCCTAACAGGGAGGTTTCCACAACCACATACAGGAAGTGGGGGAGCAATGCCAGCAGTTGTCCCCCCAACGACACTCATACATGACAACCACCAAGTGCAGGTTTATCAGGGCCTGGTGGCGGCTACCTCCCCCTCCTCACAGATTGGGGGGTTGTGCTTGGGGAAGGTGAGAAACTAAGATCACCCCAAAACCCCCACTGTCCCCTGGAGGACCCCGCTGTGACCCCGAGTGGGAACCATGAAGCAGGGTGGGGCTACCTTTTCTCCACTAGGTCACAGACCCTCTTCAGGGCAGATACAAAGTGGACTGGGACCTCCTGTGAGGGGACGCCCTGCTGTCTGCACAGCAAGACCCAGACTGACAGAAGAGAGGGGGCTGGGGCACCAGGGAGGGTGGCCAGGGAGCAGGAGGGAGGGGCATGGACGGGCTCAGTTGTGAGTCTGGGCTCTTTTGGGAAGTAGATGTCCAGCCCTGTTGTTAAGGACATCAAATTACGATGCCTCAGCGAGGCCTATCCAACAGAATGCAGGGCGGCTCTCTCCTGCACCATCCCCCCCACCTGACGGGCTCCAGGCCGGTCTTACAGCCACATGTCAGTCTACTGTGAGGATAGTCTTCCTCTCATTTCTGATCCTTCACCCTTCCCAACGCCATGTCCCTCTCCAGAGGCTCAGCCCTCCTGACAGCAGGTTCAAAGCCCATGAGATGAAGTCTCATCATCCTGGCTTCTAAGGTGTACCTGGTTCCTCCAAGACAGACTCATTCATTCTCTCGGGAGTTTATATTCAATACTCTTCAACATCACAGTCAAAGGCATCATTTCTTCTGTCCTCCTTATTCACTATTCAACTTTCACAAGTGTATAAAGCCATGATAAATGCCCTGGCTTGGCTCAGGTGCATCTTAGATTTAAATTGACATCCTTGCATTTTAAAGAGGCTCTTGACAGAAGATGTGCCCAATGCAATACGTCTCCTCTCCTCCAACTGCTGTTTTCGTGGGTATTGATTGTAGATCCAAGTAAAAGGGAATCGTGGACGTCAATTCTTCCCCCGTGTATCAGGGTGCTTCCTATTGACTCGAGGGGGTGTTTTCTTGATCTTGACATGTAACCGGTCCTGAAGGCTGTAGTCTTTGATCTTCTATCTTCCACAGCAAGTGTTTCAAGTCCTCCTCACTTTCTCCAAGTAAAGCTGTGTCTGTCATCTGCATAACCCACGTTGCTGAGTCTTCCTCCAATCCTGGTGCCACATTCTTCTTCGTAAAGCCAGCTTCTCAAATAACATGTTCAGCACACAGATTGATTAGGTTTGGGAAGAGTTGTACTCTGATGCAGGCCTCTCTTGATTTTAATCCACACAGTGTCCTCGTGTGCTTTTTGACTGACTGCTTCTTCGTCCATGTGTAGGTGAAGACCTGCGGTCCCTAGAATCAAGGTGATACCTTGACCCGAGCTCTCAATAGACCTTCTACACGTTTCTCCATATAGAGCAGCGGGAGCAGGTCAGAACTGGTTGCCAGAACCCTGAAACGTCTAGACCCTGAAGGGTCTGTTCAGGGTAATTTGTGCCCACTGGCCACTGAGGAGGGGTCCTGCAGTAAGATAGGTGGCAGCATGTCCCTGCCTGGGGCCTGGCAGGCACTGGGGATGCGGGGACTGGGCAGTGTCTCAGAGAATAGTAAGGCATTGGCCAGGAAGCAGGAAAGAAGACAGAGTCCTACAGGACTGGATTCAAGGGGTCGGCATCGCTCCTCAGCCCACATCCCCTTCCTCAGCCCCTCCCCCTCCAACTGTTTCTTGGGGTCAGGATTGCCTTCACTCCCAGCTGACCCCCCCGCCCCCTCCAGGCAGTAGGAGAGGGGAGGGGAAGTGGGCGGGGAACAGGCACCCCCCTCTGCGTGGCCCCCCACCAAGCCCCCCACCGGAGCTTGGCCCATCACAAGCACCCGGCCACAGCTGGAACCCATTACGCCCCCAGCGCCTCTGGGACCCTGGGCTCACAGTGACCCCTCTGTAAACGCTTGCTATGAGTCAGGCTCACTTGCTTTCCCGTTAGCGGGTGGCGCCGCTGATGCCCAGGGGAGCCGCGCAGGGGGCGCAGGAGGCAGGCGGGGGTGGGCAGAGCCTTCCCGGCTGCGGAGGGCGGGCTCGAGGACGAAGACTTCTGGTCAGTCCATCTCAGTTCCTCTGTGTATAAAATGTATGTCAGAGCCTTCCAGTCTTTTGGTCCTGGATGGACTGCAAAGGCCTCTACATCCAGATGGGAGGGGGCTCTGGGATTGTCCCCCAAATCAGCACCAGGCTGAGCCCTGTCCAGGCCTTCTTGAGAGGATACAGTCCAGCCTTTGCAGCTAGCCCCTCCACAAGGACCAGGGACCCCAGAATTCATGATACCCTTTCTAGATAGGTTTGGGGGCTCCCGAGACCCCCAAACCTCCCGCTCACTTCCAGACCTACCCAGACCTCTCCCTAGAACATGAGCAAATCAGGAGCTGACCAGATTAGGGTGCTAGCAGGAGCCAGGCTTGAAAAGGGGTGCCCAACCTGTCCCCCACTGATCTTCCCACACAACTGTCTGCAGGGACGCCCACACTCACCCCACCAAGTCCCAGTGTAGGGAGCTAGCCGTTGAGGCCACCTTTACCCTCCCCCCTCCTGAGGCCCTGCCTCTCCCCAGCGTCATCTCTAGGGCACTCCCTGTCCCACCTGCTCCCTCACAGTGCAAACAAGCTGGGACACCTGCTGTTCCTGTGGGGGAAGTGAGGGTCTAGGTGCGGAGCTGGGTACCCTATGCTGCCTTAATCCACCCCCCAGGACCAGCCACATGGGGGTACGTGATCACATCACAGCTCTACCTGCAGTTACTTGCGAGCCTTGGCCTGGATTTAGCACCTGTGAACAGCACATTCCTGAGAGGAGGGCACTGACCCCCAGGGGACAGACAGGGCCAGAGGACTGGCCAGCCCAGGCCAGTGTTCCCCAGCCCAATCCCCTGAACTCACTCCTCAGAGCAGCCCACTGGAGAGGCTCAGAGCCCTGGGTAGCATCCTCTGCAGAGTCCTTGGCTACCCAGGAGGCTGGTGATGCTGTCAGATGCCAGTGCAGGTCCTACAGGGAGTAATGGGCAGTTGTCCAGGGCACCAGCCCCAGTTTCTCCTGATTGCTGTATTTCAGAGACTTGAGGCCGCGGTCCTAGGTCCCACAGCCAGCAGAGAGGACCGGATGCTGACAGTGTCAGGGGAAGGCCAGCAAGCATCAGCCACTCCAGTCCCTGCCCGCATCCGAGAGATTGTGACCAGCAATCTGGGAGAGGAGCCGTCTGAAGGTGAGGGTCCCCCGCCCTGCCTGGGACTGCCACAGAGGAGCACTGAGGGGTGGTCCCTGCGTCAGGCTGCTTCTGTGTCTGCCTCAGGCAGTCACCAGGCTGCCCTTCTTCCTGTCTCCTGGAATTACACTGTTGTCCTGTCCTGTTGAGTCAGAACCAAGCCATAGATGACCCTCCAGCGGGTTTGCACAGGAGGAGATTGCCCATCTTTCTCCCATGGAACAGCTGGTTTCAAACCTTACGCCTTTGTGTTGGCAGCACATTTCCTTACCACTAGGCCACCAGTTAGAAATAGGAGTAGCATCCACTTCCTAAACAACATGCCTCTGGAAACTCTATGAACTTTGATAAATGTCGATAGTTGTAGAGGGGCTTCAGGCCTTGGGTCATAGGGTCACTATGAGTCATGCTTGAATCAAAGGCAATCAGTACCAACAGGCCACCAGTACTCCCGTAGGTGAGTGAGAATCTTTCAGGGTGCTCCTTGGGCACACCGGCTTTTGGGGTGCTGTGCCCGCTCAGTACTGCAGGCACGCCTGAAGAAACATCCTAACCCTCACCTCTCTTCCCTGGCACCTGGACTTGGGCTCAGGCCCTGTTATGTGGCTACCTGGGCAGTTCACGCTGGAAACCTGTGTCATACCCACACCCATGGGGTCCTTGGGCCTGCTTTATGACAGAGAGGGTTCTCCCAGCTTCTAAAGGACCCCGCTGCTTGCTGTGTGAAGGAAAAACAAATGCCACCGCATATGTAGAAAAGTAACTACCGGATTAAGGTGGGCACCCCGAAACCCTGACGTCCCAGCCTCATGAGGGGTTCTCTGTGTCCGGGTGGGCACTCTGAAACCCTGACGTCCCAGCCTCATGAGGGGACACTCTGTGTCCGGGTGGGCACCTGCAGTAGGTAATTGATGCAGGACAGAGCCTGGACACAGGTGTGCATTTGGGTTAAAAAAAAACACACACACACAAACCACTGAGGGCAGAAGCGTGCAGTGAGCATCCAGGGCTGTAACTTTTATGGTCATCCATCCCTCAGAGCAAGTCTAAACTGAAACGGAAGCAAATTGAAATGGAACATGCCTTTTAGAACCAAAATGCAACCTTGGGTTTATCCTACCTCAATGTCAAAGCCATCTCAAGACTAGATGTGATACCTTGAGCATAAGTGACAGAACACCAGGTGATCTGAGGAAGACATCAAGGGCATCATCTGTGAAAAAAGAAAAAGGTCATTGTAACGACAAGAAAAGAGAGAAGACCGGACTTACAGTCGGAAGAGACTCTGAAACTGGCTCTTAAACGTAGAGAAGCCAAAGTGAAAGGAAGAAATGGCACAAGAGAGATGAAGAGGTGATTCCAAAAGACAGTTGAAGAAGACAAAGCAAAGTAAAATAATGAAATATGCAAAGACTTAAAGTATAAAAATTAAACAAAAAGCATGCCCACCATTTCTCAAGCTGAAAAAACTCAAGGAAAAAAAATTCAAACCTCACATTACAATAGTGAAGGATTATATGGGCAAATTATCAAAAGAAGATGGGAGTTATACACAGAACCACTGTACCAAAAAGAATTGATTGGCACTGAACAAGTTTAAGAAGGGCATCAAGTGGCAAACAATGCATGAATGTTCAAAATGCCTAGCTCTAAGAGAGATGCAAATTAGAACAACTATGAGATATCATCTCACCCCAGTAAGAAACAGTCTTCCAAGTTTTCTGAAAAACCTACAACCAGGAGAGGATAAAATAGATGAATGGGAACTTCTAAGAATCAAATCTCTATGCACATCCAAAAACTTCTCCTACAGGGTGAAAAGCAAAGCCACAAACTGGGAAAAAGTATTTGGTAATGACATGTCTGATAAGGGACTTATATCTAGAGTTTATAAAATACTCAAGCACCACAACAAGATAAAGGTAAATAACTCAGTCACAAAACGGACACAGGATATGAACAGACACTTCACCAAAGAAGACATTCAGATGGCGAGCAAACACATGAAGAAATATTCAAAATCCCTAGCTCTAAGAGAGATGCAAATCAAAACAACTATGAGATATCATCTCTCCCCAGTAAGAACAGCAAAATTCAACAGAGCAGCAAACTACAAATGTTGGCGAGGTTGTGGAGAAACTGGAACCTTTATTCACTGTTGGTGGGAATGTAAAGTGGTGAAAACACTGTGAAAGGTGGTGTGGTGCTTTCTCAAAAAGATGCAAATAGAAATACCATTTGATCCAGCAACTCCACTACTGGGAATATACCCCAAAGAGACCATAACTGACATCCAAGCAGATATATGCACAACCATGTTTATTGCTGTTTTGTTCACAATAGCAGAGTCGAAAATATCCCAAGTGTCCATCAACAAACGAATGGATAGAGAAGCTTTGGTATATTCACACAATGGAATGTTATAGAGCACTGAAAAACAAAGAACTCATAAAATATTATACAAATGGGTGACCATGGAGGACATTATGCTGAGTGAAATATCTCAGTCACAAAAAGGCAAATACTGCATAATGCCACTGTTATAAAACAGGACTGACATGAGGGTTGGGGGGAAACGAAGAAAAGAGGAGATAAATAATGTACACGACACTGAAACAGATGAAGGAGAGGACTGTATAAAAGGAACATATGAGTAGGTATTATTGGCATGACAAGAGTCCAGAATAAGAGCTGCATAGTAAAGTGGTAGGGGAGAGGGAGGGACTGTACAACAACGAAAGAACTGGAGGGTGGGGAGGGAGGGAAATGTGCAACAACGAATGAATGGAAATCCAAGTTCTCTATAAACTTTCATTAAAATCTCAATAAAAAACCAAGAAGGGCATTGGGGGGGGGGTGATCATAGAGTCTCGCAATTTGATGGGTGGAGGATGGGTTGGGTCAAGGAAGTGGGAACGATCTGGTGTGAAAAACAACAATGTATACGAACTTTGAACCAAACCAATATAAAATAAAAATTTTATTTAAAATAAAGGGCATCAGGACTATATCCTTTCTCCATACATATTCAATATGTACAGCAGAAAGTTGAGAAGCTGGACTAAATGCAGAAGAACATGACGTCAGGATTGGAGAAGGACTCATCTACAAGCTGCCTTATGCAGGTAATACCACCTTGCTTGCAGAAAGCAAAGACTCAAAGCATGTACTACAGAACAGAAGATTAAGGACTACAGCCTCCAGTGTGGACTATACCTTAACAGCAATAAAACACTGGACAAACAGGCCAGTTCATGAGAGATAAAGGTTGAAGTTGTCGACAATTTCATTTTACTTAGATCTACAATCAGCACCTGTGGTAACGGCAGTCAAGAAATCAAAAGGCTTGTTGCATCGGGGAAATCTGTTGTTATGGGCCTCTTTAAAGTGTTGAGGAGCAAAGATATCGGTTTAAACACCACGGTGCGCCTCATCTAAGTCATGGTATTCAATTGCTTTCCGTGCAGCTGAAGGTTGAACAGCGAATAAGGAAGACTAAAGCAGAAGAAACGATGCCTCCAAATCGTGGTGTTGGTGAAGAGTGCTGACTTTTCTATGGACTGTAGAGAACTAAGAAATCCAGCTTGGAGAAGTGCAACCAGGATGCTTTATAGGCGAGGAGGTAACATTTCATCTCGTGCACTTCGGTCATGTTGGTAGGAGGGGCCAGGCTGTGGGAAAGGGCATCAGGCTTGGAAGGTGGAGATGCAGAGGGGGAGAGGAAGACCCTCAACAAGATGGATTGATGCCGTGGCTGCCACACTGGACTTGAGCACAACAGAGATTGTGAGACCTGCCAAGTATTGGACCACGTTTAGATCTGCTGTGTATAGAGCTGCTACGAGTCAGAACCAACCCGGGGCACCAAGCATCGACCTTCACGGAAGCCTTCCTGTGGAGACACTGTAGGATTCTCACCTGCCAGCTTTTGGTTAGCAGCCTTAAGCACAGTGCCACCAGAGCACCTCTGAGGTCTAAGGACACTGACAGATAGAGGAGCCATAGACGTCCCCTGGCAGAAGTCAAGCCCAGTGCATCAAGGTGCCCCCCACCCTGGCATCCTAGGGTTTCCCAGTCTAAATGGTCAGCCTACCCAGAGAGTGAGAGCGGATGGCAGTCCACCTCCCAGCAGGGGGCAGGTTCCATGGCTGGGGGCCAGACTCTGACCCTGCCGGCACCCGCTGACCCAGGGCACCCTGCCGGCACCCGCTGACCCAGGACACCCTGCCTGCAGGAGTGCCAGAGCTCCCTACCCCTGGGACCCGTGTGCAGGAGGAGAACGAGCTTCTGCTGGAGGAGTTGACCCGGCTGGAGGGGCTGCTGGCCCAAGCGGGCACAGAGAGGGAAGAGCTGACCAGCAGGCACCACGCAGTCAGCAAGAAGGTGAGTGTGAGGATGGCCTGGGGCCGGCACGCAGGATGGGGAGGCACCTCTGGGCACAAGCAGGAGCCTTGGCCATTGAGTCAATCCTGGCTCTTGATGACCCTCTGTTGGTCAAGGCTGCAAATCTTTCAGCATAATCAGCTTTCTCATTTTGGTTGCCTGATGGGTTTGACCTGGCAACCTTTCATATAGAAGTCCAACTCGCAATGTGTCCACCATCAGGATCCCCAAGCCCTGGGGCTGCAGGCAGGGCAACTGAGGGCCAGTGTGGAAGGTCAAGTGAAAGGCTCCTTCAGGTCTTTGTTGTCCCCCACCCAACTCAGCGCCAAAGTAGCTGGGAGCCCTGTGGGCCGCTCAGTGCTAGTGCCAAGCCCAGTGTCGAGCAGTGTCCACCCCACTGAAGGCGGGGGGTCCAACAGGGGGGAAGCGGCTCTATTCTGGGAGAAATAGACTCCCCTAGCTCTCATCTGAGACTGAAGGACCAAGGGCTTACACCCTGTCCTGGTACATCCCTGGGAGACTTTAGTGCCATCCACATGTCAGGAGGCAGCAGCCGGAACTCTATTTGATCTTAAAGTGTGGTCAGGGAAACTGAGGCAGAAAAGTAGAGAATGTGGTTAGACCATAACTTCTTCACTGTGTCAGCCAGGGACCAGGTCAGTGGCGAGCATGGAGGAGGGGCCTGACCCACATTCCCCTATGCTTCCTTTGGAGGCCACCTGCCTTCTGAGTGGCAGGTTTGCAGGCCCATTTTCCAGATGAGGAAACAGGCTTAGGGACAAGGCCTATGCTGTCACTGCTATGGCCGGGCCTGAGCCAATCAGTCTCCATAAGCACCACAGGAGGACCCCATCTAATAGGGGTCAGAGAGTCCTCACTCAGGGTCCCTCCCCCTCATACTGTGGGGAGTACCTGGGGTCTGTTCACAAGCTAACTCCATACAGTGCCCTACTCATTCTCTGAACCCACCCAGCCTGTATGTGCCGATCCTGTCAACCTTGCTCCACTGCAGTACGCTGGCTCATACCCCAGCCAGGGCATGCAGGTACCCCTCTGCCTCCGTCCACCCCATCTGGAAGGAGACAGGGCACCCCAGGAAGGCAAGTTCTGGGAAAAAATTAGGTGAGGCCGACAGGCAGAGGGTATGCCTTCCACATTCTGATCTCTGGCTCCTCCTGGTCAGGCCTGAGGTTTTACAAGACCTTGAAACACAAACCCCCAAGGCTGGCCAGCACCAGCTCTGCCCTCTGTGCAGACCCAGGGGTCCCGCTCCCTGAGGGGGAGGCAGTCCAGTGAAGGTGAGAGTAGACCCACCCCTGAACTATGGAGGAAGGAGGTGGAAGCTTACTGCCCAGCACTGTGAGGGTCTACATAAAAAAGCTGCAACCCAGAGAGGGGTTCTGCCCTGGTCCCCAGGACCTTGGCTGCAGCTGACATGGTCCCTCAAGACCACGGAGCTGTGCCCAGGACCAGGTCTCTCCAGCCAGCCCCTGCAGCCTCCTTGTAGGGAAGTCCTGTGGTTCCAGAGCCCTGTGATTCATGACACCCCACCTCCATCACACCGCTGAGGGGGCTTGGGGTCTAGACCTGCCCCTCCACAGCCTGCAGTTCGCCCACTTGTGAGGTCCATGAGCCACTTCTGGGGCTACCTGCCTGGAATACTCAGCTGGCTGTACCCTAACAGCAGTCCCTCCCTCCTCCTGGCTCAGCCCAGTGTCCCTCGGCCATTTCTGCTATCCTATGGCCTGAACTGACACACAGGCAGCCCAGTGCTGTGTGCAGGAGGCCCAGAGCATGTCCACCTCAGCCCTGTGGGCTCATACCTTCTTCAGCTGCAGGCCCGGCTGGAGATGACCAAGGCTCGGCTGCAAAGGTCGGAGCTGGAGCACAGCATGGACCTCGAGGAGGTCCTGGGCCGGCTGGAGGCCGCCGAGCAGAGGTGAGGCGGGTGAAGAAGCCCTGAGGCCAGGATCCCTGTGCAGGGCTATCTGCCCTCTGCACAGGGCCCTCAGTGACAGCCCAGCAGTCACACCTGGCTTCACTGTTCTCCCCTAGAATCTCTGGTCACCACAGCTGGGTGGGGCTGGAGGGGCCAGACAGCTGGGTCTGACAAAGGGTTGTCAGGAGAACCTTGTCCTGCCTTGGTGGCAGCCAACAAGGTCATTGCAGGTGGGCGCTGCTGAGCCTGGAGCTGGGCTGACCAGGCACTACTGCTCACAACTCCAAGCCACTACCTTCAAGTGGACTGGACACCTGAGAACACTGCAGGGTGGAGCAGAGTTTCCGAGGAGGCAGGCAGCCACATCTACTGCCCAAAGAATGGCTATTGATGGGAGGTGCCGTCCAGTCAGAACTGACCCACAGTTGACCCTCCTGCGGGGTTGCAGAGGTAGTAAATTACGTGTGAGAAGGTTACTCAGCCTTCTCTCATGGAGCAGTTAGTGGATCCGAACTGCATGCCTTTGGGGCTATAGGGCAGCTTCTTGCTACTTGGCCACCAGAGCTCCCTCGCAGAGTGACTGCTGGCTTCAAACAGTCCAGCTTTGGGTTAGCCGTCAAATGCTTCAGCCACAGTCCTCCCAGAACTAACTCCAGGCTTGGGCTGAGGCTTGCCTGTGGTGTCCACCTGCCCACTGCCCTGCTGCCACAATCTGTCCTGTCCAGGAGCACCGGTCTGACACAGGTGAACACACTCCTGCGTGGACAGCTGGAGCACATGAAGAAGGCCAATGACACGCTGGCGGAGGAGCTGGCCAGGACGGCAGGCAGTGCCCTGCGCCTGAGGGCCGAGTTGCACCTCCGGGAGGCATGGCGGCCCAACAGAGAGGTGATCGCGCCCACTGCACACACTCGCAGCAGGGCCTTGCTCGATGAGGGGAGGGGGGTTGTCTTCAGAAGCTTCTCCCCAGGGTGGGGCCAGGGGCACAGCACAGCCAGCGAGCTGCAGCAATCTGTGGAAGGACAATCGACCCCTGGATCCCCACCCTCTTCAGAGAGAGGTCAATGGGAGAAGTGGACGGGACCTAGGACGTGACATAGGGGCCAGGCGTAGTTCTGCGGCAATCATCTTTGATGCTTAGGGAAGGTGGTCCTTGGGCAGATAGGGACAGACCGAAGAATTGGAGCCCCTTGGAGAAGACTCACGGTCACCCAGAGCCCCGGCCAGGACCAGTCTTCTGGACCACACTTCCTGAGACCCTAGGCTAGCAGGGTCAAGGCACAGTGCTCTGGGGTCAGCCCCTGGACCTTCATTAAAGGGTATCTGGACAGCTAGTCCTTCCGGCCCCTGTGGCCTCTGCAGATGTGGAAAGTGAGAAAGGGCCCAGGTGGTGGTCACCTGGCCACACCTGATGCTGTATCCTACAAAGAGCTACCCCCATAAGCACCCCCAAAAGAGTCACAGGCAGCAGCCCAGGCCAACCTGGGCCCAGGGGGTGTCCTGAGGCAAAAGTGTCATGTGGGAGGGGCTCAGCCCCCACACCCATCTCCTGCAGCTGTTGTGGCTTCCTGCTGTGGTAGAGTAGCCCCACCACCCTTTGAGGACAGGGAAGACCATAGACAACTGGGACGTGAGAATTAACCTCTCACAGGGGACTTTGGGCAGCGGCCGGGAGATATTTGTGGTAGGTTACGGCCCAGGGGTGGTGTCAGGTCATCTTGACACAATTGGACTAATGATATGTGACAAGGAGAGGACCCCACGTCCAATCAGTGTCCACATGGTTCATTATCTCACCCTTGTCCTTGGCATGTGTCCTCGCTGGCTGGCACTTGTTCTCTCATGGCCCCTGAGCTGGCCCTCTGCTGTTGCTGAGAAGCCTGCAGCCCCATGTCTCGGTTCTGACCCTCGCCAGGGTGACTTGCTCCTGTCCTGCTCTGGCCTTCCACCTAGAGTGTGGCCACGCTCTCGTTACCTCACTCTCTTTAGGACCCACTGGGCTTCTGAAGCCTCCCTCTCACTGTTTCCAGGAAGAGGCTGCTGTCTCTGAATCTGTCTGCACTCCAATTAGACGTATGTTGGCCATTCTTATGCTGTCCTCCCTACCTCTAACCTGCTGTGTTTGTTTCTTTTTGTCACTCTAAACTATATTCTAATTTGTTTTCAAACTTAATTCCTTTTCATTGGTTTTCTCTTCTGGTGTCTGATCTCTGTTACACGTATAACTAAGTTTAAATCCCAAATACAGCTTTAGTCAATGAGAGTTCTGTTTTATTTCTTTCCAAATGTCCAACTCTATGCATATCCTCAAATCTGTGTTGCTGAAGCACCTTTTTAAGCTACTTGGTGGTCCAGCGTCCTGTGTGTGACGACTCCAGGGTCTGACGCTTTCGGTCCTGCTGCACTCGAACTCAGTGCCATGTCTTCTTGTGTCTCCGGGGAATTTTAAGTCAGGAGCTGAAAGTTCCTTGGAACTTTGTGAAGAAACTGCTTTGAAAGCTGGAATGAATGTGGAATCTTCCAGAAAGGATTTTCTCTTGCTTCTGACAGGTGCCAGGTTGCTCTACCAGTCCCTGGGGCCACCCACAAGTCTAGTTCCAGATTTTTCCAGAGTGCTCAGAGAACACCCAGATTGTGTGAAATGCGGTTACAACTGCATGATGGTGAACTTGTGATTACAAATCCACAGAGAAAATTGTTTTTCTTTTTGCCCTTCTGCTCAGTTTCAATGAGGCAGGCAGTTTTGTTTTTGTTTTTGAGTGGGGCGGGGGATGGCGGGGGTTTGCATGTCCAGTTTGCAGTTTGTCAAGAAGTTGCCAAAGTTTCCCTTGAGCCTTGACTTCACCCGTTCCAGGTCTGAGTGTCCTTATGTCTCATCACCCCATCTTTGGATTTGAGAGGTTACTGAGAACAGTCTCAAAAACCTCCAGAGCAGCCTGTCACTGAGTTGGAACCGACTTGTAAGTGATGGTGCAGCATGTTTCCCAGAGGCTGTAAATCACGTGGAAGGAGCTGCCCATCTCTCTCACTCGGAGCCCCTGCGGTGTGAGCCAGCAGAGCTCCCTCGTGTGGGCAGTTTCTCCCAACTTGCTCTTCTCCTTGTGCAGGTCAGTTCAGACATTTGGTCCTCATATTACCACGTGCTTCTTGGACGTCACGATGGGGCTTACAGTAGGAGCACAGCTTGAGAGTTTGTAGAAGCCTGGGCACAGACAGAAGGCAAACACCCTAAGGAAGGGAGTCAGTGGTGGGGGCTGGCTGTGGAGGGATGGGATCAGCACAGAGGTAGTCACATGAGTCCTGAAAAATAAGGTCTTCCTGAAGAGCCACAGGAGGGCCCCTGGAGGAAGTAGGCCTGGCACCACCCCGGAGAGGGTGGGAGGAGGGGGAGAGCACTGAGTGTGGACACCTGTGGGGTCTTTGGAGGTGAATGTGCTGGAGACACTGGGGTGCAGTGGACAGGCAGGGGGTGTGGAGACTCAGGATCAATCCTTCTGGGATATAGCTTAGTTCTCTACAAGGATGGATACCCTTGGTGTCCCACCTGCTGGCTTCATGAGCTCAGCTCAGCAGGACCTCCATGCCTCCATCACTGTCCCGGTCTACTCTGCCTTGTCTCTGTGGGAAGCTCCCATCTCCATCACCACCCTACTCCTCTCTGCCTTGTGTCCATGGACAGCCCCTATCTGTCCTGGTACACTGAGGGCTCTGAATGATGAAAACTCCAAGCTCCCCTCAGCACCTGCAAATCTCCACACCTGAACACTCACCCAGCATGTCTAGACTCAGAGAAACCTCTCTGATTACTGCACAGAGGGACTTCCTTCCCGGCTGTAGAGCAGAGTGTCTCGTGTCACAGTGAAGAGACCAGCAGAGGAGGCCCCAGGACTGGGGGGATAATAGCTTGTGAGCACTGCATCAGCACCCACTCCATGTGACCTCTGCTAGTACACAGGTGCTGTGTGGCCCCTGAGAGATGGGAGTTCTCTCCTGGGCTGCAACGTTGCTGAGGTTTAGTGTGGGGAACTAAGGTAGTGGGGTGAGGTAGGGGAGGAGGACAGCTGGTGGGTGGTGCAGGGCCTTGGTAGCAGCTCAGGGAGCCTGCCCAGCTTGGAGGCTGGAAGAGACCTGGGCAGGCACAAGAAAGGGTGTGCAGGGCTCAATAACTTGTAGTGCCTAGGACTCTAATCTGAAGTGGACACTATTTGCTGTCCAGGCCAGGAGGACATACCCTAGGGAGTCCCAGAAACTATTACTCCTGCAGAAACAGGCCACCACGCTCCAGGCACACCTGGCAGATCTCCGAGTCACCACTGAGAGGTGAGTGCCAGGCACCTGCCTGAGGGAAGGTGACAAAGGAGGAAGAGTCCCAGTGGGTGTGACAGAGGGAAAGGTTCCTCCCACCCCAGCAATCCTGCCCCAGGTCAGTGGGCATCGTAGAAGAGGGAGGAGGCCTTGGGTAAGAAGGTAAAGGGCAGAGCCAGGTATGTGTAGGCAGTAAGGATGGGAAGACTACAGCAAAGGCCATCAGGGACCAGGGCCATGTGGGGTCCCCCTGAGGTTGAGGGTCCCCATGCAGCAGGGCAGGAGCAGGACTGACGAGTGGGATGGTGTCTCCTCATTTGGCTTCGAGTCCATCCTGGCATCCGTGATGCCCAGCCTCAGCTTTGAATGAGACTCCGTTTCCCCAGGGCTCTGACAGATATGCGGGCAGACGTGACCAGGACGGCTCGGCGGCTGCACACGGCCTGCCTGAACCTGGACTCTAACCTGCAGCTGTCAGGTCATGCTTCAGCCAGCAGCCTGGAGCAGCAGCTTCAGGACAAGGTTCGGGAGATGCTGGCACTGCAGGGCTGCTGGGATGCTGAGAAGGTGGCCCTGCAGGCCAGGTGGGTCCCCCCCATAGCTGGGACAAGTGTGGTGCCCCTCCTCCCTATCTGCTGGGCCCACCATATCCATTGCATCCACGTCACCTCTGGGGACCCTTTCCAACTTCAGCCAGCAAACGGACATCTCATGACACAGCAAATGGCTCACCTTCATTTTCCTTGTGACATGACAATCCCTGGGGGTGAAAAGTTAGGGTCCCTAACATAAGGGGGTTTCTAACTGGAAGGCCAGCAGTTCAAATCCACCATCACTCCACATGAACGAGGTGAGTCGTGTCCTCCCGTAAAGACTCCAGCCTCCAGACCACGATGGAGGAGCTGCAGGTCACAGGGACTTGCTGGCTGCAGGCTGGGCTGTGCTGGATTTTCCAGACACAATAGTGAGCACATGCTTGGTCCCAGAAAAGAATTTCCAGGTTGCAAAACAGGAATGTTTCCAGGTGCCCTTGCTGTCTTAATGGAACTCGAGTGGGACATGGTTAAAGCACTTGGTTAATAACTGAATGGTTGGTGGTTCAAGCCCATTGGCTGATCCACTGAAGAATGGTAGAGCTTTCACCTTGGGAACCATGTGGAACAGTTCTGTTGGTCCTAGAGTCCTGTGAGATGGACTCGGTGGCAATGGGTAGGCTGAGTCTTTCTTAAGGCCAGTCAGTTAGGGAGCTGAGAGTGGGCAGTGGCCCCATCACGGGCATGAGCTACAGACCCTGCACACAATGGTCAGGGCTGTAGGCTCCCTGGCTACGGCTGAGGCTGCAGTGTCACCTGGGGCTTCACGGCTGGCTCAGCCACAGCCCCCAGATCCTACTGGCCTCATGCTAACACCCCATGCCTACTGTGTAACATGCACCCATCCCCAGAGGAGGGCTGTGAGGACCAGGCAAGTGCCCAGTGGCTCCATGCACCTGACAGAAGACTCTGGGTCACAGTGGGATCTGGGGACCCTAGAGAAGAAAAAAAACCTGGGCAATGAGGTTCATTCAGTGTGTCAGACAGAAGGTGAGGGACCAGCAGAGGCAGCTGTGGGGTCTAGTATCCTATCTGCTGTGCCCTGGGCCACCATCAATGAGGTGGGAGCTTCGCGGCAGGGCCATGGGGGCCTTGAGCGTGGGACTCCGTCAGCGTTTTGTTCCTGAAAGGTTCTGCAGCAGGGAAGGTGTCTGACCAGACTAGGACAGAGGCCATCTGGGCAGGGGTGTAGAGGACGGCTGACCGGCATGACACAGCAATGTACCCCGATGGGCTCGGCACTCTGCTGACCCCTTGCCATCCACTGACATCTCCAGACTCTCAGAACAGACCTTGAGAGTGGAGCAGCTCACGCAGCAGGATGCCAAGAGGGAGGGGGCCATCCAAGCCCTCACAGCAGAGGTGCAGAGATTGGTATGTGGGCCAGGGCTTCCCTAACCCCAACCCCAACCTCCACCCCTACTCTAACCCAATCCCATCTACTGAGGAATCTCCTGGCTGCAGGATTCCTAGTGAGGGGGTGGCCACCAGTGGTGGGTGAGCTGAGGGACCAAGTGGACACCCCTCAGCATGTGCTGGACAGCACCACCAAGGTGCCCCACTCTCCAGACTCTGAGACTTGAGGTGATTTCAAAGGGAGGGGTGAAAGAACCAGGGCTTGTAGAGGGGCAGTAACAGGTCTTCATGGCCTGGTGTTCAGCCACTGGGATCCTGTCACCATCAGTAAAAGATGCCCAAAGGTCTTGAGGCCCTTGGCTCTGGCTGGAAGGTCTCACTTAGTCACTGCCCCATCCGACTTTGCCCTCTGTTCTTTTCTCTGTGCCCTGAAGGTGGCCCAGGCAGACTTGGGATGTCCAGAGCTGGCACGGAGCAGCAGCCCAGAAGGCTATGTGGCACTGGGCAGATCAAGGAGCCCCCTCCACACTGCATCCCCCCGGCCTTGGGGACTGTCTCCACCCAAGGCTCACTCACTGGGCACGCTAGAACCTGTGCTGCAAGCTGTGAGGACAGCCATCGAGAGAAGGTGGCGACGGGAGCAGGTGGGTGCCACAGCCTGCAGACCCAAGGCCAAGCCACGCAAGGCCCCCAGGGGCTGCCTGAACCCACATCCTGAGGAGAGGCCACCTCAGTCGAGGTCCCAGGGGAACTCACAGTGAGCCCAGGTCCCAGGGAGATATCCACTGAGCCCAGGTACTGGGGAAAAGCTGCAGCAAAAGGGTGCCATGGTAGGGCATCAGGATCCCTGGCCAGCCTCATGCTACCCCTGCCCGCACCCCACAGGAGTTGCACTTGCAGCTGGAGGCCTCCCAGGCAGTGGCGGCCAGGCTCCAGAAGCAGCTGTCTGAATGGGAGCAGGAGCTCCAGGCCTTGCAGGAACAGGCCCAGGACCACGAGGCCCTCCGAGAGCAGCTGGACACTCACAGCCGGGAGGCCCAGAACTGCAGGGCATCAGCTGAGCGCCTGGGGAGGTGAAGGGCGGGGTGGGCTGGGCAGACAGGACCACTCACCTGACCCACCTGGGCTAAACCTGACACTTGTCCCAGATACTGGCCAGGCTCACAGTCCTAAAGCCTGCTGGACTCTTCCCTAACTTGCTGTGCCTGAAGCCGAGCTGGCCTTGAGAGTGCTGTGGGCTCCTGCAAGGCCACCAAAGGAGTGGCCAGGAGGCCAGAGGCCTGGGGAGACACGAGCTCGCCACCTCAGTTTGCCTGGTTCGCTCCCTATGTCCCTGAGCTCTGTGCCCCATGACCTTGGAGAGCCTGGAGACCATGTCCCTGATCACCCTTGGGCTCAATAGGCTTAGATCTTTTGGGCGGTGGGGGATTCTCATGCTTCTACACTGCTGCCCTGCCCCAGGGAAAAGGTGCTCCTGGAGGCAGAGGTGGAGGAGCTGAGAGCACAGGTGGACCTCACAGCTGCAGCAAGGCGTAGACTGGAGGCTGCGAACACAGAGCTGCAGAGGCGCCTGTGGCTGTGCGAGGAGCAGGGCCAAGAGCAGGAGCAGCGGATCCAGCAAGAGCTGGACTCCAGGTAGACATGTCCAGGACGACCTCCCATCCACCATGTGGCCTGGGGCTGTCCACCTGGCCTCCGTATTCTCCCCACCCAGGGGCCACATCCCCAAGCCATGTTAGTCAACTGTGCAGGACCCGGGAGGCCAAGGGGTCCAGACCCCATGCTCTGCCCCCCAAATGAACTGACCAAGGGCCAGAGAGGGGTCTGAGGGCCAGGGCAGTAAGCTTAGAGTGCAGAGACTGTCCATTGCTGGGACACACACGTGTGCCCTCACACACACTCATGAGCACATACACGCACAAACGTCCTCGTCACAGCCATGTCTTCATACTCGGGTAAGTGAACACATGCTGACTTGCGCACCACACGTGAGGATAAATACATGTTCGCATATACTCACACTCCTCACTCACACACCCAATCACACATTACACATTTTTAATTACACATACACACGGTTGTGAACTTTGGTAAATGTACTCTCACACTCATCCTCAGTGTGGGGCCTGAAAACCCTCATCCTGCCCAGAGGAGGGGTCTTGACTAAGCGTCTCTTCTGCCCAGGCCCAGGGCATTTTTAAGTGCCATCTCTCAGGCTCACCCTCTCTCGACCTCTAGGAAGTCCCTGCTGCCCTGGGAGGAGGAATGAGGTATGGGATCTGGGGTCTTCTTGGTCATCCTGTGGTGACTTCACACCCTCTCACCTCTGACTCTCAGCTATGGTCACCTGGAACAGCTGGAGGGGACAGTCTCTGGGCTCAGACAGGAGCTGGTGTCAGCTCAGGAGGCACTGAGCACTGTGGAGCTGCGGCAGGAAGTGCTGGAGGCTGAAAGCGAGGGTCTGCGCAGCGCCCTGGCCCAGGTGTGTCCCAGTGTCCCACTGTGCCCAGGCCTCCAGAAGGCAAGAGTAAGGGTCTGCACAGTGCCCTGGCCCAGGTGCGCTCCAGTGTCCCACCTCAAGGCCCAGCCTAACCTACCTCACCTCCCCATCCTCTCTCCTCCCTGCCTGCACCTTCAGACCTCCCCCAGCCCCCAGGGTCATCATGGCCCCTCCTGTCCTATCCTCTCTAGTCCTTTGTCCCTCGTCCAGTCCCATCCCTCGCTGCTACTAACCCTCTGCCCTCCCACCTCCCGCTGGTCCCCTCAGTCACTCTGTCCCCTCCTGCCTGGATCTGCATGGCTGAAGTCTGTCCCTTCGTGGGGATCACTGTGGAAACCCTCCCGCCTTGCCCCCACCAACCCCCACTCAGGCTTTGTCTGCCTGAAGGATACCTCTTCAGGATCCTTGAACCTGGAACTCACTTCCAAAGGTGACCTCTTTCCCCTGCCCTCCCCAGGCTGAGTCCAGCAACGCTGATCTGGAACTGCTAGTGGCCCGGCTCAAATCTGAGGGTGTGGATCAAAGGGAATCACTAGCCAAGATGGGCACCCTAATGGAAGGACTGGCTCAGGACAAAGTCGCCCTGAACCACGTGGTCCTCAAGGTGAGCCTAGGTCCCAGGTGGGCTGGTGGACAGGGCAGGGACTGTCCTGAGCCTCTTTCCACCAGCCCAGCTGCAAGCGTCCTATTCCTGGCCTACCTCCTCTCCTCCCTTGCACCCACCCCCACGGTCTTCACTCCAGGACTAAGGCTTACCCTCCCAGGGATGAGGTGGTCTCTAGGCCCTATCCAGGCTCAAGGTCCCCCCCTTCCTGCCTGACTCACATCCTGCCGGTGGCAGCTGGAGCAGGAGCGGGATCACCTGCAGGAGCAGCAGAGGGCACTGGAGCAGGAGCAGGCCAGCACACAGGGGCAGCTGGCAGAGGCCAGGGAGCAGCTGGAGCAGGAGCAGGCTGAGCACAGAAGTCTGCAGCAGGCCTTTAGACACCTGGAGGAGCAGCTGGTACAACTGGAGGAGCAGGCAGCTCAGCTCCGGCAGGAGGGGACACAGCTGCAAGAGCAGGTGGACCAGGTGAGGCATCCACGGGCCAGGCCTTAGGGGAAGACTGGGCAGGGCCATCACCTGACCCCGCACCTGAGTTAGCTGAGTTGTGGTGCTAATTCTCTCAATTTGACAGCAGTGCCCACAGGTTTCAGAATCTGGTAGTGAAGGTAAGCATGGGAGTTTGCAGGAAGCCTCTGTCTGTATCCAGGCCCTGAGGTCTGCCACAGGCCTTGGGTCCAGTGAGCTCAGAACTCGGGCTGCCTCCTGCCACATCTCGGCCCCTCTACCTTTGCCCACAACCAGACTACTGAGCTGGTTACCTGCTCATACATTCAAGCATTTGTTCCAAAACTTTCTATTGATGTAGTTCGTTTCTTAGACAGGCTTGACTTGCTGGATAATACAATGAAAGCTGTTATCTTTTTCCAACCCTGGCCTTGGTCACCCTATGTTGAAGCTCCTTCCCAGCAGAGCCCACACTGTGTCTCAGCTCAAAGCACCTCTCAGATCCCATAGCCCCTGTCACACCTGCAATCTCTCTGATACCTTCAAAGGTATTTGATTTTTATTTTTTTTTCAACACCATATGGCTTTGATAGTTGCTCTAGGTGGGTGTCTTGGTCTTTAGCAGTCTTCAACATTACCAGAAACACAAAGCTCTGCTTTTATGGATTTTTTGGTTTTTTTTTTATATACGTTTTGATTGAGAGTAGAGTAGGAGGATAGTTACCTTTTGTTAGTATTTTGGTGAAGTTGTTCCATTGTCTTCGACTTTCATTGTTGCTCTTAGAAAGACAGCTGTCAGTATTACTGTTGCTCATTTAAAGATAGAATTTCTTTTTAAACTGCTTTTTCAATAATATTTTTTCTTTATCTTTGGTATTCTGAAAAGTAGTAAAGTTACTTTAGTATGGTATATCGGGGTGACTTTTTCAGGTGTTTATTCTTTTGAGAATTTATGACTCAACTTACATCTGTAGCTTGGGAAATCCTTGGCTGTCATCTTTTGAAATCGTCTCTCTTCTCTGCCTTTTGATCGTCATGCCCTTAGATTTTGTTAGTGTCTATTACTGAGTTTTCTATCCCTTTTTCTCTTCAGTCTAAATGTTGTTGTTGTTGTTGTTGTTGTTGTTATTGTTAGGTGCCGGCGAGTCACTTACGACTCATAGCGACCCTATGTACAACAGCCCTAAGCTCTGCTCTGTCCTGTGCCAATTGCACCATCTCTGATACACCCATCCCGATTATCCCAGTCACTGAATCAATCCACCTCATAGAGGGCCTTCCCCTCCTGAGCTGTCCCTCCAACCTCCCAAGCATGTTGTCCCTCTCCAAGGACTGGTCTCTCCTCACAATATGTCCAAAGTATGTTAGATGGAGCCTCAGAATCCTTGCCTCCAAGGAACCGCCCAGTTTGACCCTTTCAGGATGAATCTGTTTTCCTAGCAGTCCATGGTACCCTCAATACTCTTCTCCAGCACCACAGCTCAAAGTCATCAATTCTCCTTCTATCCTCCTTAGTCATTGTCCAACTCTCTGATGCATAACAAGTGATTGCAAAGACCACGGCCTGTAACAGACTCACCTTGGTCTCCAGAGAGACACCATTGCTCTTCAGTACTTTGGAAAGGTCCTTAACAGCAGTCTAAATACAGTATTTTTTTCTACCTTCCAGATCATTCATCTTCTCAAATATTCTAATCTTATTTTGAACCCACCTATTACTTTATTAATCTTGGCTATTGTATTGCTAACTTTTACATTTCTGTTTGGGCTCTTTCTTACCACCTTGATATGTACTGACAATTACTTTGAAGTCCATATTTGATACTTTCAATATTTTAATAACCTGTAGGTCTGTGTCTATTTTCAGTTAACATGTGTGTTTTTGTCATAAAACCTTTATTCTTTATATGCCTGGTGATGTTAATTAAGTGCCAAATGTCATGCAACTTACATTTTTTTAATATTTTGAGAGTCTTCATAAGGCTACTCTTCATGCAGAGAGAATTATCTCTGTTCTGGCAAACAATGAAGGTTGTTGTTGTTGTTGTTGTTGTTATGTGCCGTTGAGTCGCCTGCGACTCATAGCGACCCTATGTACAACAGCCCTAAGCTCTGCTCTGTCCTGTGCCAATTGCACTGTCTCCGACACTCCCATCCCAATTATCCCAGTCACTGAATCAATCCACCTCATAGAGGGCCTTCCTCTCCTGCGCTGTCCCTCTACCCTACCAAGCATGATGTCCCTCTCCAAGGACCGGTCTCTCCTCACAACATGTCCAAAGTATGTTAGACGGAGCCTCAGAATCCTTGCCTCCAAGGAGCCACCCGGTTTAACCCTTTCCAGGACAAATCTGTTTGTTTTCCTAGCAGTCTATGGTATTCTCAATACTCTTCTCCAGCACCACAGCTCAAAGGCATCAGTTCTCCTTCTATCCTCCTTGGTCATTGTCCAACTCTCTGATGCATAACAAGTGATTGTGAAGACCATGGCCTGTATCAAATGCACCTTAGTCTCCAGAGAGATACAATTGCTCTTCAGTACTTTGGAGAGGTCCCTAACAGCAGACTTTCCCATGGCAATGCGCCTTTTAATTTCCTGGCTACTGGTGCCAAGAGTGTTGACTGTGGAGCCAAGCAAACTAAAGCTGTGTACAATCTCAATCTCTTCACCATATATCCTGATGCTGCCAATTGGTCCAGTGGTGAGAATCTTTGTCTTGACATTGAGCCTCAATCCATATTGGAGGCTGCAGTCCTTGACCCTCTGCAGCAGGTGCTTCAGTTCCTCTTCAGTTTCAGCAAGCAGGGTTGTGTCATCTGCATAACACAGATTGTTGATAAATCGTCCACCAATCTTGACCCCACATTTCTCCTCATAGAGCCCAGCCTCCCGGATAATCTGTTCTGCATATAGGTTGAAAAGGTATGGAGATAGGATGCATCCCTGGCATACGACCTTCCCAATTTTGAACCATGCAGTGTTCCCTTGCTCTGGTAGGAGATGATTATCAGAATCCACAAAACGTACATTTACTTGAACTTGACCTTCAGTTTTTGAGAGATACTGTTTCTGACTCAGATCTACTATGAGGTTAAGCCCTTCTGAAACACCAGCTAAGCATGTTTGCTCCTCAAGACATCTCTGTTTTGGTGGCTCTGAACTCCAATTTTTGTACAAACATCAGGGGGAGTCCCTGAGCAGTCTCCTAACTGAAAGATAAGAGGTGCAAGTCCACCTAGAGGCATCACCGAAGAAGGATGTGGTCATCAAGCTCACAAAGATCAGACATTGGAGGTCTGTGAAGCTCAGCTCCACTCTAACATGGGGAGGGTTGATGTGAATTGGACTAGACTGGACGGTGGTTGAATTTTTGAAGGCCGCAATACTGGCTTCTCAGTTTCTCTATAACACTTGTAAATGAAGGAGTGCTTTGAGGTGAAAAGACATTGAATAGTGGGGTCATTGTTCTGTGTTCCCCTCTCTCTGTGACCATTGCTCCTCCTGTCTGGGCTGCCTTTGTGCCTCTGAGGCCCGTACATGCTGCTGTGTTAATAATGTCTTTTATCTGGACGTTGCTCATGTACATGGCCTGGAGCTATCTTGTTTTCCATTACCTTGCACTGGTATTTCCATGCAGTGTCCTGCTGCTTGGATACATCTGGCTCAACAAAACTTACCATTTCAATTGGCCAAGACTCCTTCCTGGGTGTGTTCACTCTGAACTCTTGTCCATCATGGATAAAGGGGTAGATGTTACCTCCAGTGTGAGAATACATGGTGCCCTCTTGAGGTCCAGGGTTTCTAGCACCCGTCATCTGTGTCCATCATCTTCCCACTTTCCTTCCAAGCTGTTTTTGTTCAGCAGCCCTCCTTCTCCTCAGCGGGCCCCTTCTCACCCTCCCACTCACTCTCATTGTCTGCTGCCCCTCTTTTCTCCTCCCACAGGTCACATGCCGGAAACAAGCCCTGGAGGAGCAGCTGGCACAGAGCTTTCAGGACCAGGAAGCCCAAATGAACAGCCTGCAGGAAGCCCTGAGGGAGAAAGAGGCTTTGTCTGAAGAGCTGGCCCAGCTGCTGGCCAAGCAGGAAGTCCTGGAGAGGCACAGCCAGCTCACAGCCAAAGAGGCAGCTGACCTCAGGTACCCCTGGGCCTAGGATCAGGGCTCTGAAACCTGGCCCTTGGAGAACCTGCAGCATAGCAGGGCCAGGTTATATGTGTCTGAGAGTTGAGCAAGTGTGTCCGTGCATGGAAAAAGGGCTGTGCCTTTGAGTAGAGTTAAATCCTCTGGGAGCCTTGGTATGCCTCCTGGAGGGTGTGGTCAAGACCCTTATCAACACTCACACAGTGCTCTAGGGCTCAACTGTACCCTAATTCTTATTTTTTACATATACTTTATTTTATTGTGATTTTAACATAAGTTTACAGAAAAGTTGGATTTTCATTCATTCATTGTTGCACAATTTCCTCCCTCCCCCTCCATTTCTCCTCTGCCAGGCCACTTTGCAATGCACCTCTTATTCCAGATTATTGTCATACATATAATGCCTAATCATATAGTCTTTTTTGTTTTATTGTGTTTTTTTAATTGAAATTTTAATGAAAGTGTACAGATATTTTAGATTTCCATTTATACATTGTTGCATATTTTCCTCCCTGCACACCCCTCCCCCTAGGTCACTTATCTCTTTGAAAAGGAAAAAAAAAAATCTTTCGTTGTTATACAATTCCTCCTCCTCAGTCCACTTAACTATGCAGCTCCTATCCTGGACTCTTTTCTTTAAAATAATGCCTAAACATATATTCTTTTTAAACAGATCTCTCCCTCGTGTGTTTCAATGCAGTATAAATTATTTATCTCCTCTTTTCTTAGGTTCCCCCCA